TTGTTTGCCATTCAAATATCCGCCGTCGAATAGTGCATGCAAAAACCACGTAACTCACGGACTTACGACGTTTTTGAATTGAACGTGTACTACGTGGTGTTACTTCTAATGAAGCGTTTTTAACAAAAGAAAGCATGTTGGTGAAAATGCCCTTAGATTTTTACACTTTCAGATTTATTTGTTTAGAATGATCCAAAGCTCCTTAGGTAACTGTATGGAATCAAAAAAATGTACTTAGAAAAATCGGATTGGAAAATGTTTCCCATGAGTGTAAGGTTTTCGCCCCATCTAGTGACTTTAATGAGGTTCCATCCAGCTTTGATAGAATCGAAGGAAAAAGTTCTCTGGGCTGAATCTGGGTTATTTCTTGTACGTGCCGAATTGTGTTTCAGCAAGGAAAAAACGATTGCTAGCTGTCGTTGGCCTGGCGACGACAGTGCGACAGGGACTGGAGCATCGCCGTTCCTTTACAGACGACATCCGGTGACATTTCCGTCTCCAGGCGATACCGACATGACGCGAATTGAAATGAATTAGCACAAAGATCAATTAAATTACATGGATTCGCTTCAGATCGACGTATATATTTTTCCATAACATCTCGAAAGGGCTAGCGTACACTGGTGCATCGTATGGGAGACCTGGTGAACTTGGCAAAGTGAATTCCTTGAGCTTTCTGCTACTATTTCAACTGATAAGTTATATAAAATAAGAGAAAATTATTCTTATCAGTCATCAAAAATGAACAAGAATGGTCAGTTATCTACAGGTATCAAGAAAATGGACAACAAGGAACGAAAAGATGTAGCTATCCTTACTGAATTTGTCCATCCGACCACAGACGGCCAATAGTGGACAGCTGTTTCGTGCTGCGGTTGCATTGACGAGGTGTGCAGCGGAGTTTGCTTCAGTTCTTTAGCATGTCTTCCAGATATATTGCGAATCGAGCACATTCCCAGAAAACTGGAAGTTTGCTTATGACCAACCCGTCTCAAAAAAGGGATCTAACGCCGACCTTTGCAACTACAGGCCCAAATATCTCTGTTATAAGCAAGGTGATGTAGGGGTGTATAAGTTGCGAGCTACTGGAGTACCTCGAACGTCACGGCTTGATTAGCGACAGAAGGTCTGGTTTACGGCACCAACGATCCTCAGGGGACCTCTTAGCTTACGTCACGTATTTGTGGAGTAAACTCATGCAATCTGATTGTTGCTCTTGACATCACGAATGTGTTCGATCAGCTGTGGCATGTTGCCCTCTTATGCAAACTTCCATCCTATGACCTCCCAGAGAAGCTTTGCTGATGGGTGGCTAACTTTCTCTCTGGCCGCAAGATATCCATCGCAACTGAAAGGTTCTCCTCTCCATCCCACAACGTTAATGCGGGTGTTTTCCAAGGATCGGTCTTGACTCCGATACTATTCCTCTTAGAGCCGTGTCGTCAGTTGTTCCTAGAATTGTAGGACGCCTCTACGGCCTCCTCGATTTTCATAGTGTTTTCTTTCCTTCAGAGAAGGTGGGGTATTTCTAGATTTCATCTGCTCCGTGGGAGCATCAGCGCTCTCCTAGTGTGAGCTTTTGTTTGTTTAATTGTTAAAAATTTCAGGCTGATAAAACACGCGATAAATCGGAGTCGTGAACAATTTTATGCAAATAGATATTGGTGAAAACCTCAAAATAGAGTGCTGACACGGGACAGTAGAGAACTATGCAAATCAAGGAGGCCTTTAGATATCAACGACCTCCTAGCCTGTACGATCAATCCATTTCACAGCTCTGCTGATGACACCACTCTGCATGCATGAATTCAGAATCAGGAAACGATCTCTGTCGGTGACTTGTAGAAAACAACACTAGCAGCGACTTCCTTTGTCACGAGAGACCTGGAGGTTATCACTGCTTGGGTAGCAACAATCATTAATTATTCCAAAACACAGTACTGTACCTTGACGAACACGAAGCGACCTAGCGCTCATCCCGTATCGATGGAGTTCTACCAAAGAGCCGTTTATTTTAGCTGATCTGGCAATAGCGACAGCTGCTAGGGCTAAGAAATACTTTTCTTCACATAACCTCCTCACTCTGTACAACACCCGGCACGGGTATTATGTAAAAAACCTGTAAAACGTCAAAAAACCCATAAAATGTCATCTTGCAGACTAGGTAGTTTTTGGGGTGCAAACAGTCATTCCACATCTGCTCACTGGAATCGTTGTGAGAGTCCATCTATGGAATGACTCAACTAAACTACACGCATTGTTGGTTGCATATGTTCTGTGAATCCGAGTGGTCTGTAGTTTTCATCTCTGAGAAAAAAGTTGGTCGAATAGCAAGATCGCCTCTGGATGATTATTTGTATGGTCTGCATGTGTATAAAATCAGTGACGTTTGCTGTGTAAGAAAATCGTTACTGATGAATATGCTGCCAATGGAGTATATCTATTAGCTGTGCCCGACGAGTTATTTGTGTTGTGCTTTTTAAAGATAGGTTATGTTCAAAGTTATACATTACGAAAAACTGTGAGAAGAATTACGAGAAATCACCACCGCGCCCGCGTTGTGTGTAATAATTACTGTTAGCATGTATATGGCTTGTAATTCGACAGTGTACAGTGAATATAATTATTTCTTATCTCTCTCATTGTTGAAGTTCAGCAAATTTGCATATGTAATTTCTAAAATGGATAAAAAGAAGTGGATGCGCAACTAATTTCTAGCTTCGAATCTCAAATAAGTGTCCAATGGAATTATCATCAACACATACAACTAACAACTTAGACCTCCAGTTATGTCAACTCTGAAGCAGATTTTACATTACATCAGAGCCAAACATTGATAACTGAAGCCTCATGACGTTTAGGCAACACGTACATCTAAGTGCTAAGTTAACATCTTGTAGAAAAACCTACATAAACAACAGTATAATGTCAAAAAAATCGATATAAGGTCTCTTTTCAAGATACTTAATACCCGTGCCGTTCCATCGCCACTCACAGTCTCAGCAACGAGGGCATTACAATTCAAAAGTATTGATATATACTGAACAAAACAACAATGGACGATCACAAATTCTGAAGATTCTTCATGACACCATAGTTTTACATTGTGGTATCGTTTTCTTAACTTGCAGTTTTTGACAAATTTCCAACTAGGATCCATAAATAACTTTCCTTTTAAGATTTATGTCCATAATGAGGGTCAGACGTCTAAAGCAAAGAACTATAGTGTCTAGAACATTTTCATTTGATCAATTAAATGAAGTCACAGAAGTGAAGAAATCAAGACTTTCCATTGTTCTGGGCTAAGCGAACAGCTTCTAAAACATCTCGATCCTAATGCTTTGAGTTGTCGGCTCCATCAACCTTGAAAGATTTCGACCTTGAAAACAGGGCAGAATAACACGTGTTTTATCAAGATTCACTGAAACCACATTTCCTGAGTTTTAGCCCAGGATTGTTTATTGTTTTGTACAAGAGTAAAAACTCTACAACAGCTTGGAGCAACGATTCAGAGTTTGCCTCTTAGAGGAGCAGACTTCTTAGACACATCAGAGGACGGATGCTATCCTCGCTTTCTGATTCATATCAAGTACAGATAATGTAGTTAAATTGATTAACATAGGTTACAATGTTGTTCATATGCTTCTTGTCCTACATACAGAAAAATAATCCTTTCAAACAATCGAGGTCACTTTGAAGCTTCCCCGATACCCCAACATTGTGTTCCTTAGATCCCCCGCCCGAGTTTCGGTTACCGATGAATATCGCCGTGAATTACGCCCTATGTAAAGTGCAAAGCAGTGTAGGTAAACAGATAATATGTCGATTCTGCAGACAGGTAATCCTCCTCACTCTCGATACGTTTGGAACAAAGCTCGTAAGCAAACACTTAAACTTTCACGTTGCACAGTCTCAAGCAGAATGTGAAGAGATTTCGCAGAATTGTAAACAGAAAAAAAATATCATGGATGCGTCACGATTTAGATGCCCTGTGATGAAGGACTATATACGCCCAATTTCCGAAAATTCACTTCGGAAACTCGCATCGCGAAAATCGTAGCTGTGTCCATATCAAACGAAAGCATTCACCTTTTTTCCAAGCCAAACTGTTCTCACTCAAAGCGTAAACAATAAGGTCATCCTGTCGTAAAAACAGTCTCTGGCGCGTTGTCTGGAAAATTAAGGGCGGTAGATCTTCAAATAGTATTTTTGGAGGTGACGTTCCTCGGGGTTCAATTCTGAGCACTCTTTGATTGAGTTATGAAGAACCGTCTCATACAGTGACAACGGAATTAAAACGTATACATCAATAGTTCGCAGATAATTTGACGATTGTAGTTTTGGCACACATGTGGATAACGTTTGGCGCCCATGACTCTGACGTCTTCTATTTCAACTTTTGATGATCCTGGAATAAATATTCCCGAATTTGAAAAACTCAAATTTGAATGATATTTGGTGTGCTTGAAATGATACCTGCATCTTACCTGCTGAGCTTGGGGTATAGCTATTAGAGAACAAGTAAAAATTCAGGTAACGAAGGGTTTCTCTCTCTAACCGTTTCCTCCAAGTCTGGAGGTCGTAATCTCAAACACGATTGTACCAAGCCTGTTCACTAATTTCTATCTTCAGCACATCTCAGGGCACCATGATAGGTTGTGTTCAATGCCTGCTGTATTTAGTCGGACCATCTCCCAGGCGATGTTCTACGACATCTTCCCTAAACACCACAATACCTCCTAACAACAGACGGTCTACGCCACCGAGTGCACTCAAATTTGCTCCGCTACACGCTGCCAGGGTATATTTGTTCACCACTGGTCAGCTGCGATGCAACCGCTCAGCTACAGCTTATCCGGAGACAATTCGATGTTACCTTGCCATTAAGTGGTATAGGTACCTTTGTGTTGCGCGAAGTTTTGTCCTTCAAATTTTGACTATTCTCAATGCTACTGTTTACGAATGAATCGTAAATTTATGTGTTTCCTTACAACGCCACGCTAGCCCAATTCGTGGTTTGTGCTATTATCTGCTTGCTGTAATTTCTTAGCAGAACGGATAAATTCGGACAAGCTGTGGGCGGGTGTATAAGGTGAGAGGATACATCCTGACAGCGCGTAGCAGAGCGAGTTTGACTGCACTGGGTAGCGGCGTATCAATCCTCGTTTATATAACCAACCTTTCCAAGTTATCGTTTTCTCTTCTAGCTGTCTGGAAAATTTTAAAGTTCATCTTAAGCGTATGACGGATGATATTAATTTAATTATTGCAGCACCACATTTCGAGCGCATCTTGTTTCTTTCAGTTTTTCAGAGTACCCTAGTTTCACCACTATACAAAAGTATGCAAAAAATCAGGACTTACTCTGGTCCTATCATGGTCGTGAGAGTGATTGAACTTCTTCCATATTCAAGCCAATTTTCAATGAATGGTGCCTATCAGGTAATATTCAGTATTTATTACTTCTTATGCCAAAACTGGCGAGTAAGAATTATAATCACGAAAAATTATGAAATTGGGATATTATGTTTTTTGGATATTATATGACATGTACCACACGAAAAATTTGCTTTTTTTTATAAATGATGACTTGTTACTCCGTCGAATATTTCATCAAGTAGATTGACTCAGTACCTACCTATGAGGCATGCTATGCGATAGACACTGGCTGAGAAACCGACAGAAATGAAAAACATAGACTTACGTCATACAGATAGATATCTTTAAGCAACAGAAAAATTATGAGCCAAAGTTCAAATATTACCCACTGTTTAATACTTCCAAAGAGGAAATAAAATCGATGGAACATAGTGTTACAATATTTCACAGATTCCTGCTCATTTCAGACATTATTTGAAGGGGATGAAAATTGTAAGCTGGAAGCTGTATTCGGTAAACGGTTGTGAATTGTTGCATATTTAGTGCCAGTGAAAGATCTTCTATTATTACGGAGCTACTGGTCTCTGTAATACTATGCACCAGTCCAACATAATAGTTCACACATGTTTCCCTACATCTGCCATAGAAACAGAAATACGATAGATTTGCTTTATATAGTTTGATATTCAGACGTTGAAGATTCATCCTACCTAGGTAAACCTACCAAATCAGGATTCAAGTTCTTCTTTGAAAGAATTTGACTCATCATTTTTTTAATACCTCAAACGAAGACGTAGAAAGTATAGAGATAATCTAGCTGACGCCCTTTGTATTATTCAGGATACATCCACAAACACCTCCAAATCGTTGAGCTTTTGATGGCCTGTAGTTGTTATCAATCATTGATTTTTTCTTGGATATGGTATATTTCCACGTCTGCATCCTTTGGCAAAGCAATATTTATTTATCAGAAATATTCCAAACAATGCATTTATAAATTAATGAGGGTAAATTAGCACTTTAACACAAAGTTCTCTCTTGTATCGGAGAAGTAGAATTTTTTGAGTTTGAAGCACGTTTGAAGTGAAATCCGACGGGTACTTTCCAAGAGATGCAAGAGTCGGGGATTAGTGAACAGACAGGTAGACAGACAGATACACAGACGGAAATGAGTGAAATGCTTTTTTGTAATGTGTATGCCATGTAACATTTAAAAAAAGGAATGTACCTGATTTTCGAAATATTTTGCGACCACAGTACTCCCTCATCAGAGACGTGGGAAGTAAAACGGAATTAAGCGTTTCCATTTAAGCAGTGAAAACTAATTTAAGTTTTGCAGACGCGTTTGGTTCCACCATAAAGAAATGCTAAATGTTGTTTTAAGAAGGAAGACTGTACCAGGTACTTGTAAGTATAGTCTAATCATATTAGCAAATTTCCCCGAAATGATTGTAAAGTCTGGTCTTATTGATGCCAGTTGTTCAAGGGGGTACGAAAAAACTTTTCATATTAGATTTTTAGGTATTTATGAGACCTACAAAATTAGGCCACACGTAAAAAGATCTGACGTATAGCAAAGATGGCCGAAAAACGAGGAAAAATGCAGGTTTTGGCACTTTCTGGTAATGCGACGATAATTTCACGCAACTACTTGAAATTCTTCAAATCCGTAGGATTCATACTTCTGAATAACAACAACAAAATTGGATTATATTGGCCAAGCAGTCTTTTGAGAATTTCTAATTGTTTATCCCAAAACATCTGTTTTCCTGCCATCACTACTAGTTTATTGCGCATTTAATAGCAAAAGGCACGTGCTTATCTTGCCGTAATGAATCGCAAACCATTCCGAAAGATAAATGTTGTTTTTATGCGAAAAAGAAAGGTTACGTTTTTTCTTCTAAACAAATTCAAACATTTCTTATGTATGAGTAATTGAGCAAATGCGCTACGTTATTCGAAGAACATACGTTACTACACACATTTTAAAACAAAGCGCATATGTCTATCATCTTTTGTTGCGAATTACTCACAAATACGAAATGTTTGAATTTGTTTAGAAGAAATAACGTAACCCATCCTTTTTTGCATAAAAATAACTTTTATTTTCCGGAATGGTTTGCGATTCATATCAGCAGAGTAAACTAGTGTATTTTGTAGATTAGTAGGGATGACCGGAAAACAGGTGTTTTAAGTTAAACAATTAGAAATTCTCAAATACTACTTGACAATCTACTCCATTTTTCTTGTGGTTTTTTAGAAGTACGAGTCCTACGAATTTGAAGGATTTCAAATATCTGCGAGAAACCATCGTCACATTACCAACAAGTGCCAAAGCCTACATTTTGCCTAGTTTTTCGGTCATAATATGTTTGCTATCAGTCGGATCTTTTTACGTGTGGTCTCATTTTGTAGGTCTCATAAATATCTAAACATCTTGTATGAAAAGTTTATTCGCTCCTGTCAACACCGACGATTGAATCCCAAAAAACACGTTTTCTCATTCCTTGTTGTTAAATAAAAAGTTTTCCCACAAAAATTGGTGTACCCATTTTATGCGTCCATGTTTTAAATACCTCCTTGAACAACTTGCACCAATAAAAGCAAACTTTACAATCATTTCGCAAATCAGGGGTATTTTCGTCTAATATGATTGGACTAGTATAAATATTCTTCTGTATATTACAATAAATATGTGGGAAAGTGGAACATCATCGCGGAAAAGACATACAGTCATCGCTATAGATATTTAGTTGGATAATAGTTGTAGTTTCTGCAGATGTGAGCGCGGGTATGTGCCAGAATATGCACACAAGATGTGCTTAGATCACTAATTGCGGTAGTCAATATTGATCTGGTTGATATTTGATTTCATCCACTGTACGTGCTATCTACGATAGGCGCAAATTCTGTATCGATATCCAGAACTTTGTGTTGTATTAGCTGTGAATACATAGTGTCAGGGTGATCCGTTTCAATTCTTTCTTCCCACGCATACGGGAATAAGGTTGTGATATACAGAGAGTTTTTAATGTGTGATCGGTCGATAGTTGCGTTTTGCGTTATTGTAAAAGATTCTCAAAAAAAATATTTACAAAAACTATAAGCTTCTTGCTTGGAAAATATGCTGCTTTCTACAGTATAATTCTCAAATACGCGTCAATGCAAACTTGCAATGTCAAATACAAGCTCTCTCCGAAGGTAGAAGTTTGATTTAGCCTACAAGAGACTTTGGATCGATACTTCTGGAGCTATAGGGTATTTTGTCCGAAAAAGGTACTCAACTTTAACAACTTGTAGATAGACTAACGTACTATTCATCAAAATAAGCTCCATATCGCAAAGTGTCTCGTCACTTAGAAGTTTCTTAAATTTTGTACGTCCGGGTGTACCTCGACCTAAGCGGGGTGTTCATAAGCGCAAAATGTACCTGATCCCAAGAAAATCAAATGCTTGATTTTGATATAAGTTGTGCAGAGTAATTATTACTAGATTTTTGTGTTTCTTCGAAACTACCATTCAGAATAGATAAATATCACTTAATTGGTGGGAGGGTGTATTTTTAGTTGGTGTGTATAAGCCTTCATTGAAGTTGCCCTCCATCCACTAAAACCTGCGCTCATTGGTTCTGTGGAGTATTTAAAGAAGCTTGCCAAAATTAAAGATAAAACCGAAGCTCATAGAGGATCAAATTCCAAAAACATATCAAGTTTGCAGATTTTCCCTTGATACCTGCTCGTTTTTTTTTATTCAACTTATTATGCATGTGAAGAGAGATACTTGATGTTAATATGTATAGTATGTATTTCACAATCGATGGGTTTATTGATTGAGACAGTGACCAAGTAGTATAATCATATATGTATACAGGGTGTCTGCGAAAGGGTGGGAAATCTCGAAACTGGAGATACTACAGACCAAAATATGTGAATTGACCTAAACATACCTCAGTCCAAAATTGTGTATCGCTTGAGAAGTATTTCAGGTTTTGGCATAGAACTCGGTATAGCGAGGTTTTCTAGTATGAGAAACAAGAGTCCGTTTTTTTTTATGGTCAAACTTCTAGAGGGCGCCACACAGCACAGCACTATTTCGGTAAATAACTTATCATAACTTTTTTGTGCTACCCTGTATACAACAACTGACAAAAAAATCTTATTTTCTCGTATTGCCACAACAAAATAGGTTTACTTGTTAGAAGTGTCTAATGCTAAAAGTTTTAGAGATATTTGTTTTTAAAAGTTCCAATGCATTATTTGTACCATGATAATAAAACCTTTTTATAACATAATAATCAAGTTGCTTTGGATAATATCTTAGTAGCGTTGCTATGGTTTCTAATGTTTGTCATACTACGTGAATAATTTTAAGTTGACAACAAGTTGTTAAACATGATGGAGTTTACGTTTGATGAATATTCTGATATGCATTTAATGTACGGATTGCCAAGATGTAATGCCTTAAAAGTACTAAGATTGTACGCTGACAGATTCTCTAATGGACACCTGGCTAATTCAAACACTTTCCCACGAATCGATCAACGGTTACGAGAAACTGGTAAGAAATGATTATAGCCTTATTTTGAGTAGTAAAAACCATTTGGATTTTAGGTAGTTTTGCTCAAAATATTGGCCGACATAGTGGAGCTCCCAGAACTGTACGTACAATTGAAGTTGAAGAAAATATTTTAGATGCTGTCTTTGAAAATCCTACAGTTGGTTTGAGGAATGTAGCTCGAGAATTTCAAGTTTCCAAATGTACAATAAATACCATTTTCCAAGAGAAACTGCTCCATCCACACCACCTGCAAAGAGTACATGGTTCAAGTGAAG